GCTCACCTTCGTTTTGGATGCAAGATTTATTGAAACTTGGTAAACGAAGAGTCCCTGTTCACGCAATCCAGCGCGAACAACTAACCTGCATGACAAAGCAGGACCCAATGAAGGGATGGGTACTGATGGAAGCCAGAAGTTGCTGTACAGACAACCGATCTGTCTAAACTGACCCGAAGACAGTGTTCTATAGTTGCACATAGATGGTTTTTTGGCCCGCGGGTAGTTGGTCTAGATGCGGAGAACCTAAATCATCCGTAATTTGCTGTAAGCTCAAACTCCCCTCTCTTGCTCGGTCTAGCTCTGACTTGCTACGTCATGTTCAAATTCCTTTTTCTTCGTCCGAGAACCCTAACCTAAGTCATCCGTTCAATGATTTACGAAGGTCTTCTTTTGCCTAACATGTTTTCAGCAACCAATCAATCTGTATATTCGGTCATACCAGCATTTATTGTTTATTATCCAAAGACAGGGGAATTGCATTTCATCACTTGTATCGTGATACGCACTCCCTGGTTGACAGGACTCCCCAACAGGTGCATACTATATCCCTCCGAAAAATATGCCTACTGTAATGCTTATCTTATGTCTACTCTGCTTTTCATAGGTCACTGACGCGATGGGAAGTCAAGCTCAACCGAAAAGCGTCAGTCTGCAAATAAAAGCGCTGCCTTATTTCATAAAAAAGGCTGCGGACACTATCGTCTCCATTGGCGAAAACGTGCTGATGGTGTGTGAAGCGGCTGGCATTCCTGAGCCGATTCAAATGTGGTATAGAAACGGAGAAAGCGTCAGTGACCTTCTTGCACAGGGCAAACTTAATGCTAATAGATACATCCTTACGGATGGAACCACCGGACCCGCCAAACTGCAGATTTTGCAGGCAAGTTTTGGTGAACTAAGTTGTCTGAGACTTTCTACTGATTAAACAAAATGAAAATGACCAAATATGCACGACTTGATGACATCATGAAACTTCCATGACCTCTTATCCAGCTGTTCACGATCATCGCATGTAAATGTCATTGAATGTTTGTTAGGAAAACGGCCCAGTGGGATAAAACGTGGTCGGTGCATAAATGCACAGAATGCTGACCAGATCTGCGGATGAGCGTAGTGGTCACATACTTTCAGATGGTATGAGTCACCAATAAAAAAATCATCCGAACACAGCCTCGCAACAACCAGAACCATTTAGAATTGCTGTTTACGCTAACAAAGCTGTATTCTCGACAGGAATTCATAGTGGGGCCGCTTTTTGGTAATAGGGGTTGATCTAATAGTTTTCTTGGTCTATAGGCTTTCTTTGTTTACCACTAGGAGTAACTCTTGTAATTTATTGTTTTATAATTTACAGTTTTTTGGGTCATTTTTGCTCTTTCCGCAACCTTTTACCTACGTTTTATTTCAGTAAAACAATTACAAACGGTTTTAATCAATTTCTTTTGTGCAATTACTACACATTGACTGCTTATTAGTCAGGCATTAGGCATTCAACTACGAATTCGTCAGACACTTGGTTTAGGGAACTTTTTTCCATTGGGCGGCTCTACGATACAGCCCTATTACCTTGTTAATCGTACATGAAGTGAATGACATCAATTGAAGAGCATAGCCTGCATACAGAAGTGCTGCTTGATTAAACCGACAAAGTAAGCTATAGCCAAGTTGATGAGGCATGCGTCGAAACGTGGCGAAGTCGAAAACAGAAGATTTCCCAAATCGGAAGTCAGAGAAGACTGATAAGTTTGACAGTCTTTAACGTGAGACAGAGCTTAACAAGAGCAGGCGCTACTAACAGTCTCCTCAGGCCAGTTGTTCTTGTGCATGTGCCCGCGCGCGCGAAATTACATGAACCCCGGGACCTGTTCCTTGTTGCCTGTGGCCAGTCAAGAACTGGTACACAGAGATTGGCTTCGAGCTCTCGCGAGGTAGTTTCAAGACTAGCGCGGCTGCGACTCTACCGTAAGCGTGTGACGGACATCGTGGGCGGCTTTCACAACGGCTCAAACAAGAGCGCGCGGGGTAGATTGTAACGCGTGAGTGCACAAGGCTTGGAAAACTAAGACAAGATGAGTCAGCGCAGTAATGCTGATCACAGATTGCCCCACAAACACCAAAATGTGAAGTTCTTGTTCAGTTGGCCGGTGTACAGACAGAGCAACGGCATATTCATAGGTAATCTATTGAGACCAGTTCTAATGAACAGCCGCATGGCAAGCTTCGATGGGAAATTAGCACAAAACTTACAGCGAAGTGCATCCTATAAGCGATATGGTCATGCCATTTTTGTCCTGAACGACAGACGGAGAAATGGCAGTTCAAGCACCGTTTCCGACGCTGTTCGCCGTGTATCCTACAACAGAGAAGGCATATGGAAGGTCACATGTTTGTTAATTAGTCTTTAGACATGTGCATCCGCACCCCAATGGGGAAAAAAACTGCTGGATCTATAAACAGGGCACATACAAAAATCAAATTCAGGATTGTGCATGGAAAAAGACACACTGCCTTTCTCAGATATCACGATACAGAAGCGATCAGACGGTTCCATTCAGAGCTCAGTCCATCTCACATCCACTTTCGCAGTTTGTTCAAATTAACACAAAGCGAAAATTGATTTTTTCCGCTCAATAGAGCCACTAGGGTGAGTTTTCTAACTACAGTCGGTGATAATAGCAGATTTGTGAAGGGCGTTTTCAATAGGTACGTGTATCCGGACAAATTTATCGATAAGTGTCGCCATCCTTGTACAAAAAAGTTGAGCAGAAATGTCCGTGCCAAAGTCTGTGAGCATCTACCTCCTCTCTAAGGCTGATATGGTGTTAAACGGGACTAAACGATGTCTCCGATACACCTCTGAACGGAGATAGGCTGCTTCAATCCTCTCGTTCACAGGCACCATGACGGCTATCCCAGTTAGCCCGGTTAAAAAATATCTTGCCTTTGCACGCCATATCAAACTGTTTTAAAGAAAATGAGGGCACGAGCACTGGGACAGCACTTGTATTTGTCTGCGCTTTCGGTCGTGATAGGTTGGGTTCACATCCACGCCGTCTCGCGTTGTCGTCCCGGTGTGCGTCTTTCGACAGGAAGTGAGCTGCGTTTCTTGGCTGCCCGAAAGAAAGGTGTGATACCAGGGCGGTATATCGACACGCCTTTTGATGGAGTTGGAGTCAGGTACTCAGGCCTCCAGTAGTTCTCGCTCCGTCCTATTAC